TTTTAAATTCCCCTGTACCTTTTCTGTTGTAGTTTCTTTGTGTTTACCTCCCCCCCACTTGGGTTTGTGCGCCGCCCTGAGTCCCACTGGAAATAGGGCGGCATATAAATAAAATGAATCTTGAACCTTAGATCTGGCCCATGGGGCCACCCTGAAAACAGCGAAGGATTGGCCTGTGGTTCCTCTGCCAGCGAAAACGGAGCTCAGAGGACTACAGGAGCCTGTCACAGCTGAAAACAGAGCCCGGGAGCCATTCGCACCCCTCCCGAGCTCCGTTTTCACTGGTAGAGGGCTAGCAAAACAAACTACTAGCAAAAGCGGCATTTGATCACAAGGCAAGAGACATTGAGAAATTCCTCCTCTGGAGACAATGAATTGCCCCCCTCCAGCCCCAGCCATCACAGATGCCCCTGACAAATGACATAGAGCTGGCCATACCCATCCCAGCCACACCTACCCTGACTACGCACCCTACCCCCCCCCCGAGGTCAAACACAACCTTGATGCAGCCCCCAATGAAATTGAGTTTGACACCCCTGCAACAGGACATTTTCTGCAAGTGGGGAGTGTTTGTTGCTGCAGTCACTGCTTATGCTGACTAGACTTGTAATGTTTGAATTTGGGCTGTGAGTAAAGCAAGCTGCTGAGTCAGCTGGGTATTCCCAATGGCACATTTCTCTATGCTGATCATTTTTCTCAGCGTAGATGTTAGTTAAAGTTTTACTCCCTAATCAGCTGAGAGTTAATGAGGCTGGAAACAAACTATTCTGTTTCTGATTTCAAATACTGACTCACACAAAGTTGCTATGGTAGTTCACAGTTTACTCAAGGTAAAAGAGTAATAACAGTCAACGCATACAAGTCAAAACAGTGTCTGACAAATGAAGAGTGAAGAACACTCCAAAATCATTCCAAGATTCCAAAAGCTGGGTGACAGTTGTCAGTCATTCCAGAGATCAGAATTTCATAGGAAGAATCCACCTAAATTGTCATACAAGAGCCAGAAATCAGACAATTGCTTCCAGCAAAGAAATAAGGGTCAGGGCTGGGTCTTAAATCATGTGGAGTCAGCTGCCATTACTCAAGAGATTTGTCCCTTTTTGGCAACCTCTCTGTTTTACCCTTTACTGCTTTACTCTCCTCTCCTGTTTACTCTCCTCCTCTCCTTTACTTGCAGAATGCAAGTCTGGGAGGCCTTATGTCATTCTTCTCTGACTATTCCAGCTGTTCATGTGATACCTATATTTCATTACTTTTATATGATTCTTGTGTCTCCTGAGGCTGAAATTCCAGTTTCTGCTGAAACCTCTTCTTCAAAATTAGAATCAGTATCTGAGTTTGTCTCACGATGCATATATTCTACTATAACTTATTAGTTTTCAAGTTCCCAGCAAGGCAAACAGAACAAATTATTTTCCATTCGAATGCCAATGCAGTGCTAATATTTCTAAAAGCTTTGAAAACATAGATATGTTCCATGCTTGAGAATGAGGTAGATAGTGGGAGCCCATATGATTATGGTTAAAATCATTGTAGAGATTTATCTTGTCTGCCTTCATAGTTTTTTAATGCTGTTTTATTATTTATTTGGATTGCGCTTTTATATATTGTTAGCTGTATGGAATTACTAAGGCAAGATGGGTGACTATATCCAATGAATCAACCAACCAATCAACCAACCAATCAATCAATCAATCAATCAAGCTACATAGAAGTTGAAGAGGAGAAAGATCTTTCTTCACATGAGCAGAAATATATGACTATGCTCATATATACATAATCAGCCTGTGCTGTCTGGAATACATTGTAAGTAACCCAAAATTGCTTAAGAAGGGCAGCCATAAATAATAAATAAATAAATAATACCTTTAATACTTGAACTTTCATAAAAGTGTAGCATTATTCTGCTTATACCTTTATGTTATTCACACATGAGCTTTGAGTTTAGTTCAATGACCTTTAAAATGTTAGAAAAGTTATATGCCGATAAATGTGTTAGATAAGAGCCATGGTGGCGCAGTGATTAGAATGTAGTATTATAGCAGGCTAACTCTGCATTCCACTGCCAGCAGTTCAATCCTACCACCCTTCCAAGCAGTGGTGGGATTCAAATTTTTTTGACTACCCGTTCTGTGGGTGTCGCTTGGTGGGCATGGCTTGGTGGGTGTGGCAGGGGAAGGATACTGCAAAATCTCCATTTCCTCCCAATCAGCTGGGACTCCAGAGGCAGAGAATAGATGGGGGCAGAGCCAGTCAAAGGTGGTATTTACCAGTTCTCTGAACTACTCAAAATTTCTGCTGCAGGTTTTCCAGAACTGGTCAGAACCTGCTAAATGAACCAGTCAGAATCTGCTTCCAAGGTCAGTAAAATGAGGACCCAGATTGTTGGGGGCAATATGCTGATTCTGTAAAATGTTTAGATAGGACTGGAAACCACTATGAAGCAATATATAAATCTAAGTGTTATTGCTATCGCTGTTGCTACATCAATACCAGCATTAGTTTCTCTATAGCTGCTTTTCTTCCTTTTTTAAACATTTTGGCAATATTTTTGAGAAAATCCCAAATACTGTGAAATTATTCCTAGTGTGGTATGAAACACATAAAATAGAAACAGATGTCACATGTTAGTCTTTCTTTAATTTTTGGTAACCCATGTCCTCTTTCTTTCATCATTCTTTAAAAATGTTGCTGCTTAAATTATACAGGGAGAACTATCTGGTTTACCTTTCAGTTTCCTCAATTGATTCTTTGGTGGTCTCCTTATATTCTGGGAAGGTTTCATTAATATCCATGCAAACTTTACCAACAAATGCCCTCTGGCCAAATTTATCTATAACATACAAAGGAGAACAAAATTAAGAATAATTTTCTTGATCCTCGTTGTTTACAAGTCTTTTTTTAAATTGCCAATAAATTCTGACATTACAAGCATATCTCACAATTCCAGACAATCATTTGGAATAGTATAGAAAGAGTTCTATGCAATTCATAATTATCTATCTGTGTAGTTTGTGTATTTTTAGCCACACCATTACAGTTCCCCCACCACCCAAAAGCATTTACAAAATATAGGATCTAATATAATGTAGTTACCACTGTGAGATGTGAGCTATAACTTCCTTAGTTAAAACCTATTTCATCTATACACAGTGTAGATCCTTTTAGAGAAATTGATAGCAAAATAAAGTGTTTCAAACATTGGAAAAAGTAATAACAGAAGAAAAATGCATGCTTTATTGATACATTTTCTCATGATAAGGATGAAAACTACAAACTTAATTGGGATTTGTCGTTTGTTTTTGGTAATCAGATGAATTTATGTTAGCTTTTGTAATGCAGATTTCATTGACTAAAAGCAAAGAATAACGATGGTATTTTCATATCTAGTTGGGAAGTTTCCTAGATTTATTCACTGCTGTTGAAACAGAATGAACAGCTTGAATGAGTGATGACTTCAGAAAATAAATCCCTATATTTTTAACTGCATAGAAAATAATTGAAGGATTGAAAGTGTGTTATACTCAACACGGGAATATCATTAATTGATCCAGTTTACAATGACTAAGGCAATCTGAACTATACTTGGAGCTTTTGAAAATTTCTCATTACCTGTAAAAGTATGATCTACCGGTACTTGCAACTTTTGTTTACTTTTTTAAAAATAAAATTCTCAAGTTCCACTAATCCAGAAACCAGATACAAAATAATAATGTGGGTACACAGATACACACTAAAAAAATAAAAAAAAGATGCCTCACACAGTTAGTCCAGAAATTTGAAATCAATAGTAGTCCTGATTTTCCTTCATGTGTTTTTTTTACTGGCAACTAATTTGAGAAGGAAATACATTTTAATTACTGTTATTGTTAGATAATTGTACTTTAGAAAGCCTTACCAATCTATTTTTAATCACTGACCAATAAATCCCAATTTATTTTCTACTACCCCATTCTAAAAGTTCTTGACAATCTGACAATCTTACCTATAATGTCAGCCAGAAGCAAAGCAGCATCTGTGTGAATTGTGGCAAAATAGCAAGCTGTAGTTGTACCATTCTTGAGTGTTCGCCTCTGTACAAAAAAAAAACCCTCGCAATTTATTTGTTTCAGGAGAGAATAATGCAGTGAATAATGCTACCATTTTCTTTAAAAAAATCTGCACATCAATATAATCAATGACAATTGTCAGGACAAAAATATAGGCATTATAGAAAAAATACCTTTATTATACTACCTTATGTTATCTATTTTCTTTTAAAAAATATTAGCAGTGTATTAACTTAATAATNTGTGTCATTAATGAACTTTATCTGAACCTTGTGGTTTGGACTTTTGACATAGGGACGTTGGCTAGAACATCTTGTGGTTAGAGGCTGATGACATTTCCTTTTAAAGCAAACTTCTAATTGTCTCTTTTATGCCATGTCTTCATTCTTATATTTTTAATCCATATTTTATTCTACTTTAGTCTTAGTAGGTAATATGACAGTGTTGAGGGAATTATTTGTTTAGCAGAGTGATGGCATTAAGGAGAAAAAAACTCCTTGTGCCTAGTTGTCTTGATCTGTAGTGCTCTATAGCGTGGTTTTGAGGGTAGGAGTTGAAACAATTTATATCCAGGATATGAGGGGTCTGTAGATATTTTCACAGCCCTCTTTTTGATTCGTGCAGTGTACAGGTCCTCAATGGAAGGCAGGTTGGTAGCCATTTGTTTTTCTGGTTAGGAAAAGTATCCTAGCAAGGACAGCAATTTGGCCGTGAAACCAGGCACCCTTTGTGAGGGCTGGCTTGATATTCATTCTGGATACTTTTAAGCCGAACTGAAGAAACTCCGCAGCCCTCCTAACTCTGCGTTTCTGTGATGCTTTGGATTTTAGCCAGGAGGAAACAGTCCCTAAAACGCGCGCCCAACCTTGGCCGATGTAAAAGTTGTGGACTTCAACTCCCAGAATTCTGGCTGAGGAGTTCTGGCTGGGGAATTGTGGGAGTTGAAGTCCACCGGTCTTAAAGTTGCCAAGGTTGGACATTCCTGCCCTAGAAGAGGAGCTGAAATAGGGTGGGCGGGCGTCTTTTCCTTTTTTGGTCTAGCAGCCTTGCATTCTGCCACATGTGTATGAAAAAGGACTCCTTACCAGCTGCCTCTTAGACCCTCCTTCTCCCCCGAAATCAGACACCAAGACTTCTAATCACTCCTCCTGCCAGGGGGGAAAAACCAACAAAAACCAGTCCCGTCTTTTCTCATTAAGAACAGATTCTTCTCCTCTTCCTTCCCCCCGCCACTTTTTTTTTCTTTGAACATTAATTTTCACCGTCCTTGACCATACAATGTGACTGGGTGCTTCCCTCCTCCTCCCCCCTTACTACTTAGTCATTTTTAAATAAAGAAAAGACCGTTTGGGTTTCCTACATCCAAAACATGCCATGTACCCTAAGAACTTGGATTGCAAACTTTTCCTTTTGGGTTCACCTCCTTAATATCCAGGGATTGTGCTATGCTAGGACTCCTCCACCCGGGAGATTTGTCTTCCCAGACCAGAAGCAAGGTCAGTAGCTTTTTGTATTTTTTTGTTTTTGTTTTAAAATGACAATCGCTGCCTTAAAGCGGAGGAAAATGGGGCATCTCTCTTCCTTCCACATTTCCTGCGCTCTGGATTAAGTTTGCAAAACAAAGGACCCCCCTCAACAAGTAAGTCGCTAAAGTTTCTCCTGTGAATTGATCCAAGCTCTTTGGAATTTATTTCTGGATTTATTGTATATCCTATGTAAAATGCGTCTTCTGGGGGGAAAAAAACCCCAATCACTGCCCACCGCAGCTCCTTAATGGAGGCAGAAACATTGCAGAAGATTTTAAACCGCAGAGACATTCACAAATCATCTCCCCTCCTACAAAATTGGAGCTTGGTCGAAATTGCAATTATTATTGCCCATCCTCCTTGCAGCCAGTTAACTGGTGACCTTGTCTCTTCCAAGCTGCAATGACAAAAGAAAAAAAAATGGCTCATTGATGATCATTTGCCTAGAAAAATCAGCTTCGCCCCAGAAACCACTCTGAATGGGATTTTGAACAACTCTGTTTTTCCGGTTGCAGTTCTCTAAACTCGGACTGAGTTTGAGCAGTTGATTCATCCGTCAATTTTTTAAAAAAGCGTTTGACTCAAGAAAAAAAAAGTAATAATGAAGAAAAAGGGCCTTTGTCTTCCCAGAAACAGTTTTATTATGACAGGTCTATAAGCTGCACAAATCCAGCAAAGGGACCCGAGAGCTGTTTATTGTTCATAGCCATTGATTTTGCATGAATAAGGAATTGTTTTGACCTGACCTCCCCCCCCCCCAATTTGCACATCCTGGGACTTGCACTTAAATAATACCAATGGGGTTGGTTAATATTTTCACAGCTGTTGATTGTACAATTTGAACAGCACGTTTGACAGTCAGGTGCTTGCACATTGTAATGGATTTGATTCTGTTAAGACTCATCTGCAAGTACTACTCCATTTCTTTCGTACAGGTAATCCTTGATTTATAACAGTTCGTTTAGTGACCGTTATAAGTTAAAAAGCACTGAAAATAGCAATAGCACTTAGACATATACCACATCACAGTGCTTTAAAGCCCTCTCTAAACAGTTTACAGAGTCAGCATATTTTCCCCAACAATCTGGGTCCTCATTTTACGGAAGACTGGAAGGCTGGGTCAACCATGAGCCACTCAGGATTGAACTGCTGCCAGAATTAGCCCGCAATACTACATTCTAACCACTGTGCCACCAAGGTTCCTAAGCTGTGACTAAAAAGGCGGCTAATGACTGTTTTTCTCACTTTGTCACATCCACAGGGTCATGGGATCAAAATACAGACACATGGCAACTGGGTCCTTGTTATGACGGGGTCATGTGATCACCTTTTGTGACCTGACAAGCAAAGTCAATGGGGAAAGAATATTCATGTAATAACCATGTTATTATTGTTATTAAATGTTAACAACTATGGCAAGAAAAGCCATAAAATGGGGCAAACATCACTTAACAAAGGTCTCATTTAGCAGCCTTTATATAGGGGAGTCTTAGAAGAGAAAGCAGACTTTATACAGTACAAATTACACACCAATTATGATCCCTTAGAACAAAGATAGCATATTCAGTTGCACCTGAATGTTCTGCTAGAATGCATGAATGCTTTAGATCAGTGGTCCCCAACCCCCGGTCTGCGGACCGGTGCCGGGCCGTGGAGTACCTGGCACCGGGCCGCGCAGCGGCCGGGGGCCATGATCGCTGCAGCGGCCGGGGGCCATGATCGCTGCAGCGGCCGGGGGACATGATCGCTGCAGCGCAAAGGCTCCTGCGCCGTGCGCAAAAGCTCCAGGGAAGAGAGCCCCGCGCTGGTACGCACGTGTCGTCGCGAACAACGCCCCCTCACCCCTGCGCGCGCTCAGCGGGCCACGGTAAAATTATCAAAGGCTGACTGGTCCGCGGCGATAAAAAGGTTGGGGACCACTGTCCTAGGGTACTATCTTTCCTGGGTAGGCATGTTTCTTCCATTCTGTCTCTTGAGAACTACTAAGGATTCAATTATGGCCTTCAGCAAACAAAGCAGAAACTATTACTCTTTTACCTCTACAAAGATTTAGTTCAAATTATGCAAAACAAATATGCTGTTTCTTTCCTCCGGTTTAACATATTGTTAAGCATTATAATTTATTCAGTAAATCACAGTGAAACAAATCCACTGTGCAAATATAGCCAGCGATAAATCAGAATAGCTGGTTTATCTCTATTTAATCTGAATGACTAATATGTGGGTGTGTACAGTTTATAGACTCTCATTTTACTTTTTCCTTTGTACAACTGTGTTAATTTGTCCCCCCCCAAAAAAAATTCTGAAATCTATGTTTTTGCAAATCATATCAACTTGCATCTTGTCTTTTCATATAATGAAGGATTTGATTTCCCAGAGAAAATAGAAGAAAAGCAAAAAGAGTGTATATTAAAGGGAAGCGGAGTGATAGGATTGGTCATTTTTAAATTGATTATAGAACTAAGACTATATCATATTTAATGGACTCTAAGCATCTAAATTGTGCCACAGTCCCATTTCTAACCTCTCATTAATCCAATCTATTCATAGTTGGCTCCCTTTTAAAATCCCACAGATTCCAAAGAGAGAAAAAAACTATATGCCACATTTCACCACTGAGGTTAGTTGCACTTAAAAATGGCTAGATCATGAGCAGAGATTTAAAATGATGCATGCATCTAATTAGTGTTTTATAAAGCATTCTACCAAAACAACATATTATATTTACTTAGCCTTTCCTGTTGTATAAATCAGATGTAATAACTAGGAAATCATCCATATGTATTTAAAGATTTGAAAACTACCCCATGCAAAACTAATTGTATAAAACATTGATTTCCAGCTGCATAAACATGTGTTCACAAGGGCTAGGTAGGCAGCATTTTGGATTTGATTCCTCAAAGCTGCTTCAGAAAGGACATATTATGAGCTCTTTAAAGGAAGCATGTTTTTCCCCAAAACTGTACAGTTGATCTTTGCAGCTATTTTAAAGAGCTGCAGAATGGATGCAATGTTCATTCTGCAGTACTTTCCTGAAATGAAGTCCAAATAATTACTCAACTCTTTATATCTTTCTGACTTCAGTGGGACTTCTTCAGTGGTGGATTGCAGATGGGACGCCCCGGTTATGGGCGTACTGGAGCCTGCCTGGAGCACAGGGTACCATTCCGGTACGGTGCTCCGGAGGGCTCACCCGCTTGCCCAAGCTCCTTGCCTGTGCTTTAAGCCGGTTGGCGCTTCCGCGCACTGCATGGCGCATATGGTGCCTGCATGACGCTCCGCTGAGCAGCTGGAGCATCACGGAGGTTTGCGGAAGCGTCGCAGGCAAGTACGTGTACACGCATGCCATGCAAATCCATGTGTGTGACGCCGGGGCTGTTCCAACCGTAGCGGTTGGAACGGAATCCAGAACCACTACTGGACAACAGTGTTTTGCATTTTATTTTGTTTTATTTTTCAAATTTATGCACCATTCATCTCACAAACTCTTAGTGGCTTACAAAACCTGGCTTACTCCAGGTTGCATACACCTCTTGGGTATCCAGGTTAGTTTACAGTTTACAGTGCCAGATCTTAATACTCTTCCAGAAAACCAGAAGAATGGGGACCAGTGTTTCTGCCTAACTTGATAGGCCGAGTTGATGTAATTGGAACAAGACAGGGTTGGGTTCCGGCCGGCACAACTGCCGGTTTGCTCATGTGAGCGCTTTGCGTACGTGCAATTAAAATTGTTCTGTGATGGGCAGAACTGAAAAACAAGATAGTGGCGCCAACAGTGCTGACTGGGGAACCAGTTCGGGGACGTGGCAGGCCTGGGTCGCTGCCAATTACAGCAACCCAGGCCTCCAAACCACTCCTGGTTCGACCGAACTGGTCCAAACCAGTAGGAACCCACCACTGGTCCCATGCCACAAAGGGCTATAAAGATCATAAACAACATCTTGAATTGGACCCAGAAGCAAATTTAAAATTTAAGTTTTAAAGCAATTTTTAGCTTTATCTGCTCATGGTTTATATTATATAGATATTATAACAAAATTGGTTATTATCTGGGAGCAGGCCATGACATAGAGGTTTAATTAATCTAGCTTTAGAATAATGTTTCCTACACATTCCAATTGCTCCTGTTTATTCATGAATTATACATTTTAAACTGTAAGGAATCAGGAAGAAGATTTTTTTCTTTGTTATGTTTGCATTGAATTAGAAATGAAGAATTCAGAAGAAGTGATAAAGGATTATCAAATTATTATATAAAATTCAGCATAACCTATCCCAAATAATATATTTATATAATTGTAAACCATAGAAATAGTAGGGAAAGAATCCTGAGGTGCTTATGGTGATAAGAAAAAGAGGTACAATAGATAGGACAAACTGACAAGTAGACAGACAGATCTGTCTTACCACAGCTCTAGTGTACACTTCTTCAGCAAAATCAATTTTTTTGAATTCAGCCTCTACTGGATAAGTGGTTTTTTCCAACCATTTCAAAAGAGTCAGATTTCCTTGTATCCCTGTAAAGTAATACTGTGGGGCATGGATATGTGCATCAACCAAACCTGGCATGAAGAATTCACTGGGAAAGAAAAGTATGAGAAACAAGCACATCAACTTTCCAAATGTAATTATTTGCATTTTATTAAATCCAGTGATTTCAGTAACAGTGATATTAACATTATCATATATTCATGATGATGTAATCACACAAATGTTGCAGTTACATACAGTACAGTATTACATCATCATAATGTCTGACACAAGCATGTAAGTACAGTATTTGTGTTGTCATGCATCATTTTCTCCTTCTTTAGAGCCCCTAATCAAATCTCACCTGGATGTTTTAATATGCTTCCTATATAGAAACCAAAGCATCCAATATATATGCACCCTGTTTCCCTGAAAATAAGATCTCCCTGGATAATAAGTCCAATCAGGTGTGTGTGTGTGTGTGTGTGTGTGTGTGTGTGTGTGTGTGTGTGTGTGTGT